ACGCGACACGAGGGATGGGGCTGAGCCTCGAAGCAAAGAGACTTCAGGATCGGGAATGGATTTGGAAGAGACGTTTCATCTTTCACCAGGACTCTTCTCTCACTCCAGCGACGATCGACTTCCAGTGGAAAGAAGGAAACCAGTATTCATTTATTTTTTGGGGGGAAGAGAGGAGGGGGAGTTTCTTGGGACGCTGCCGATCCCCCTTCCGAGTCAACGGGGAATGGGCCTTAACCTGCTTTCTTTCGAGAAGTACTTAGAGTAGTCAAAACATCCGCATCTCTGGGACTAACTTTGTGGGAGGCCTTCTCAAAAGTTAATTGCAAGATTCAGAAATTGTAACTAACTGATTTGTCTACCTTTTGAGTAAAGAGTTATTTAATCAAGCCTTTTCGGCTGGAGATGGTCTTAGATCGCATCCTATAATACTACATTTAAAATGAATATGTTTAATTCAAGGCCGCTGGTTTCAGATGGCTTAGACAGCGGGTCTCAAGGATAGTACCAACTTGGCTCGGACCTTGAAAAATAAATGACATCGTTTTACTTCTCATAGAATTTTTTATCTGCTTTGCAAAACATTGGGAAGTTAGTTGTTGCAAAAGCGGTATCCACTTCAGTTCTTCTCCATCAAATGCCCCCTAGACTCCCAACAACCACAATCTCCAGCCAGCTGAGAAAAATGAGACTTGAGATCCAGCACGTTTGAAGGGTATTGCTCCTTAAAGATAACCCACTCTCTGATGATGAAACTCAATTCTTTCAACAATGCCCAACCTTTCTAGATGGAGAGACCAAGAAAAACAGGCCAGACAACCTGATGACTTGATTCTGACCACTCACACTTTCCCCCATTCACCTTAGCTTATTATTTACCGCAGTGAATCTCTTCCCTCCCTCCCCTCTTTGGTCAAAAATTAAGGAACTAAAAAGGTGAGTTTTGGGGTTCAACCTTCAGTCTAGAATATAGATTATGCAGTTTGGTTGGAAGATATACTAGGAGCTTGGCTAATAATAATAATTAAAAAAGGCTGTACAGCTTCATTTCTCCCTTAATATTGCAAAGCATACCAAGAAGAGCAGAAACTTCTACTGGCTAATGCCTAGCATTTCTAGTGGAGGAAAAAAAATCAATCCATATATGACCTTTACTCTTAATCAAAGGAGTTGGAGAATAAGTAGATGCATGCGCCTATAAGTATCTTTACAGCCACGCGCACCTGCATATTTTATGGACTACGGTTTTATTTGCTTTTTTCTAATTGCCAGGGAATGTGGTTTCTTGGTTTTTAGTGGATCGATTTCCCCAGATCAGTTAAGGAGACTGATTGCCATGGGGATATATTTAAGGTAGTTTGTGAAAGATGACAAATTGTTAGAAAGCCTAAAATGTAAACATCGCTCCCACCCTCAATTTAACACAGAAATACCTAGATCAAAACATGGGGTTGTGGAAGATGAGAGTTAATTCATTGCTGGGGAGAGTTCACAGTTTTGTTTTTGCTTGTAGCTTTCACTCCTTAAAGCCATTCTTGCCTATATTTTTATCTCAGCGTCAAGCCAGCAGAAGGAAAACAAAACTTGTTCCTGTGGACAAACTTTCAGTTGTCACTCTCTCTTTCTAAAATAAATTTAAAAAAGAAAAAGGAAAGGTTCTTGCAAGGGCCATTCTCTAAAAATCTCATTTGTGATCAATTTAAAGGGGGTATCTACTTTGTCCAGCAATGTCAAACAGTTGTCCCAAGGCCAATTCCATTTGGGGTGGGGGATGTTGATCTACAGGGTCCCAAAGGACGCCAAAAAGCTAGGTAGATTCCAGCTTCAGGGGAGAAGCTCTTTGACTTTCTTCCTGCGGATTCAGGAAATGTCTTTCCTTTTCAAATGCAATTACCGTCTTTAATAAGCCACGTGCTAGACAGCTAAAACTGTTGCCATCATTCAGGCTCATTTAACTCCATTAAACTCAAGCAGGGAGTAATTCAGCATATTACTGAAGCCTTTAAGAGAGCTAACTGGATTTTGGCTGGTGTAAAGAACCCAAACAGTCAAAAGGGCGTGGGGGGGGGGGGGGGCAGGGAGGCGAAGGAAACGTTTATAATATTTCGTGTTCAGACCAGAAGAGAGACGTTTTGGGAGCCGTTTCTCCAGGTAATTAGTAACTTTGAAATTCTAAAATAAATCATGTGGTCCAGAAAATATCCCACTTTTTTATCCTTTCCAGATGTACTCATCAGACACATTTACTGTTTTTTTTTCTTTTAAAAAAATTAACAGAAGATAATTGAGTCAAGTCCCAAACCTGGTTACGCAGAAAACAACTTTTAAAATTATAAATAAAGGTGTAAATGAAGGAATAAAATAAATGAAATATTCTTCCTTGAAGGAAAAACCCATAATTGTAATTCGTTCTGTAATATTCAGATTTAATTTAAGCTGATTTGAGAAAAGGGCTGAACAATCAGAAATTGCATTGGCTCACCAAATTAATATTAACCTTGTATTTTTTTTTTAAAGTGCATCCAATGGCTTCAGAACGAATACACAGGATTAAAGAAAGATGCTAAAACAAGTGCATTTACAATTATAAATTCTTATATTTTACCTTATTTCTAAATCAACTTAAAGGAAAATGTTGCAGGGAAATATTTCAGAATGTTGGGTACCTGAGTTACAAGGTGATATTTGATGTTAATTTATTCAGCATGTCTTCCAAGAATATGATCCAAAGCCACCGATTTGGAAGGAACATAATTTAAATCAGTAGGACAAACTATTTGGATACCAGTATACTATGATATATAAGCATACGAAGGCACACAACAGTGTATTTTTTTATTTATAAAAATGAGCTTGAGAATAGTTTTGAACTGAAGATTCTTTAAATAGTGACCACTTCATCCACGCCCGTTTAACTATACTTGAACCTTTTTTGAGATTGCTGGGAAATCCTTTTGCCTTCTTCCCTTCCTATATATGTTATGTAGACAGCACAACCTGCTTTTAAACATCACTCTAGCACGAATTGGTAAAGTCGGTCTATGTGGGTTCCATCCACATCCTACAGAAGTCAGGAAAAGAACCTTTTCCAGATTTGAATGGATTTGCATTGCATTTGCAATTGAGTGAATGTGCTCGGTATCTAAACGTTGGTGCCTTTACATTGAACAGGACTGAATGTTTGCAGTGAAAACAAGGTCCTGTGCCAAAAACGAGGACTCCTTAATACTCACATATAATAATGAATTGATTTTTTTTCCAGCCTTAACACAAAATGCAAAGTGTACAATGTGATTCCCTCATCAATACTGGAGAGCTGTGATGTTAAACCAAAGTTGAATATTGTGCAGCTTGGCTCCAGGATCTTGCCTGTACAGACCATGCTTATTTTCTCAGAAGGAAAATACCGCTGATTTCGGTGGAATAGCCCTGCCGGGCAGAAGGCAGAGAGAGAGAGTTGGAAGCTTCCCTCAACTAAAAGTAATGCAACCTTTGCAACTAGGTCGCCTACCATACAGCTGCATTTAGGGCAGGGAGGCAAGGAGCTGGGTTCTTTCGGAGATGCCGGTTGCATTGCGGTGCCCCTCTTCTTGGAAGAAAGCTGTCTCCCATTCGGTGAGACTTACTTAAGCAATTATTTTAAGGACTGGATTACTGTGGAGGGCAGGATGCCTTCCTCCGACCTCACGTTTTGTTTTGTTTTTTAATTGCTGGGTTTCCTACCGCACCACAAGCTGCTCAAGAAACCACTGGGAAGAGTAGAAGGAGAGCAATTCCTCCACTCTGGCGAAGCTACAGATCGGCCACCGTTTTTCCTGGCAGGCCAGCAGTGGAAAGCCAAGCGAAGAAGGGAAGGGTGACGAAATGCAAAGCCGCCTTTGTTCTCTCTGAAGTTCCCTCGCTTCCCCCAACATTATTCTGCAGCCTGAGATAGTTAAGATCAGATTAGCCGAGATCAACGCTTCTATTTCCAGATAGGGCCATTTTGGTCCCAAGCCTGCGGGACCCTCGCCTCCCTTGACGCGTGTGTGCGCGCGAGCAATCTGGGCGCCAATTCCAAGTTTTGAACTTTGGACCGAGCAAACTATCCAGCCCTCTTGAATTGCACGTTTCGGCCGGAATGGCAAACACCAGGTAAAGAATTCCCCTTCCTGCTTCCTGTCACTTCCCAAACGTGTTGGTAGGGCTGAATTACTCGACTTTGCATCCCAGATTCCAATCCCCCAGGCTCGTCACAGATATTTTCCCCAGGAGGCTGAATTTCTTCTGCATCAACTCTTTAGGGAAACGGGTTGCCCTGGAAAAAAAAAAGGGGGGGGGATGCCTCCTGCCAAGTACCCCACCCCCTCTCTGTTCCTATCAAAGCCTGCTGCAATCTTAACCGGAAAGGGAGTCAAGACTGACAGGGGACCTGAGATCCAACGTGCAGGTTTTGTATTTGCGTTCAAATGTCCTTCAAAGCTCTCCGCGTTGCTCTGTCCGGGAAAGACAGGTCGCAGTTCCTTCCCTTTCCGTCACATTTCTTGTTAAGTCCAGTTACATAACTAAACCCTAACCCAAGTCAAGACAGGGTATCCAATGCATATCAACACAGAAATCAGTCCATTTAAGATCACCGTTGATTATTCCTAGATAACTGTATTTAATATTACCTCCAAGTATTTCGGCTGAACTGGTTTGGGGATGGAATTGATGGGCTGTGATCTTGAATGTTGAAATAGTCTATTCCACTGAATAGACCAGTGTTTCTATCCGGATATTAAATAGGCGGAGTAGTGAGTCAAACCAACGAAGAGGGGGTTCCTTTCTAGTTTCAGGATAAGAGACCCATTTAAGGCAGGTTCATAATTCGGGTACCAGCCCATTTGTTTCATTATTAGCCCAGCCCGTTTAGAAACGAAGATACAAGAGACTTGTAGCTGTGATAGCTTTTTCTTTAAAGTTCAGTTTAAAGTGTAGAACTCTAGGAATGTTGTATTATTTTCAAATCAAAGTTCATATTCTTTGTACTGATTTGACAAACATTTATTTATCTGTTTAAAACAGGAGGCAGCAAAAATAATTACGTAGTTGACTTTAGATTTTCTCATTAATATTTTCTCATTGCACTATTTATCTCAAGATGAAGATGTTGGCAAAAGTCCTTTCTGATCAAATTACAAACTGAAAGAAATTCTGCTCAGCCTCTCCTCCTCCCTTTAGAAACAGCTAGGACTGCATTTTTACTGTTAGAATAGAGAAAAAAAGTACCAAGTACAATATATTAGAACACCTTACAGTTCAAGTGGAGGAGCAAAATGCAAATAGGCAAACACTGCATTGACTTGGAAAGAAGCCCCTCAACCCCCTGATTAATTACCAAAGCATATTAGCCATGAAATCCTATACATGTCTAGTCAGAAACAAAAACCCATTGAATTAAATCAAACTCACTCCCAAGGGTGTGTGTATACGTTTGCAACCCAAAGTAAAGATCTCATTTACTGAAGCTCACTTACAGCAGATCCCAATGTAGGGTTGCACTATGATTTCGTTTTCATTCCCCATGGAAAGTGTGGGGGGGGAGGGAGAAAAAAGAATGGCAAAGAATATATTCCAATAGCCACACGGAATGCTTTGCAACCTCTTTGGCGTTTCTACTGGAAACCAAGCAGAAGACAAACGGTGCAACAGCTGGAGATCAAGCAAAGTGCATTGCAAGTAGGGTGGGACTGAAAGCTGAGATCACAGCAATTAAGATTGCAATCTTGTGTACATTTATGTGAGAGTAAGACCTACATATTATATAGATATAGATATCTAGCAAAGTATCTCGTTTCAGCTATCGTTGTTCCTACTGGAAAGCAAGAATGATTTCAATGTGACACAGCTCAATTAATTGCCATTCTAAATTGTCACTGGCATTTTAAACTGCTTCACTTTTGAACATTACTAGGCAGGAAAGACCCACTGCTACACTCAGTTTTAAGGTGGGGAGATGGAGGGAAAGGATTTTAAAGCATTAAGGAGTCTGAACTTTTGCTGGCTCTTGCTTGCAATACATTCAGTCTTGCTATACCATGACCCAGAAGGAAGACAGCACACTTGTCCAATGATCAGGAACCAACTCTGGATTCTGCATTCTTTCTCACTAGTAATTTATATCATCCAACCATGGTTGTGCTGATATAACAGTAATGAAGATGGGCTTTAGAGCACCTTCATTTCTATGCTGAGCCACAGTAAGTTTGCAGAAATCCTCAAGATACTTGTTAAAAATTAAGAAATCCCAAGAAAATTTCTTAGAATTTCTTGGAAAGTACATGACATTCAGATCATCCTGTTGACCGAAACGTGCAGGTTATTTGGAAGGAGGTGCCACTAAAATTGACAGATTTCTACCTAAGGTCACAGCGGGCAGCGTTGGCCTATTAACTTCCAAAGACCACTCAAAACCAGTTCATTACAGATGCAACATGTTCCTTAATAGGCAAATCTTTTCTTCTGCACACAATGTGACTGAGTGACCAATTATAGGTAGGTGGGATTTACTATTTAATTTATGCTCCTGTATGTAGTGCCTGAGCACTATTCCAGGCTCATTAGAGGAGATTAGCAACATGACATCCATTTCTACTTGATTTTTCCACTACAAATTTATACAACAAATCCAACTCTCTTAACTCTAAAACCGATGCTGGAATCATCTTACAGCAGGATTCCATGAAGTTACTTGGAAGCAAGTCCCACTGAACAGATTCTCCAGAAAGTGTGTACAGACCTGCTAACTTTGTGCTTAAATGAAATGAATTCATCTGTCACCTCTCTAAGAAACTCCGCTAAGGGCAAGTATTTGAATGTCAACAAATGCACACATTCCAGCCTAAACACATCATGTGCTGCAGCTCCAATTGAAGTAAGAGGAGGGTGAAAGCACACAGCTAGGGGAAATGAACCTAAGACACTTAGCGTTAACCCCATCTCAAAATCCTTTTTAGCAATGTTCTGCTTTCAGGAAAAGGTAATGTGTCTTATATAAATTATGTAAATCACAGCTATCCCATATGTTATCAGTTGAATTACCCTGCCTCAGTGTTCACTGCTTAATTCTTTCCCCACTCTTTCATATCAATGGGAATCTCTCTGTAGCACCTCTCGTGGTCTGTAATAGCAAATTCTTATTAGCTTTTAATACTGGATGGATAAATTTATGACCTTTAAGTTATTGTTGGACTACAATTCCCATCTCCCCCTAACAACTGGCTGGCAGGGATTGATAGATGTTGGAGTCCAATAATATGAGGACCACAGATCCCCAACTTTAGAATATGAAATTCACAGGACAATCAATATAAACAATATGCAATGGTCTTATGCCAAATTAAGATGAATTTCCTTTGCAACAGAAAAGGAACCATTTAAAAATGATTCAGCTTTGGTTCATGTTTGTGTAGCTCTGGAACTGAATAAGTGATAGGCTTGAGAAAAAAAGTTATATGTTTATATTTATTGTTAAACTATTGTAAGCAACAACTGAGTCTTCTAGCATAATCTGACTTGATACATGAGTAAAGCTTTTCCATATTATGAGAATCGCCTTTTCCAATATGGTGTTTTCCCAAAATAATGGGCTACCACTATCAAAACTGCCAGATGGTAGGGACAATTGAACAGAATAGAAAAAATCTAATCATAATTGAATATTTTGATGTTCTCAGGATGACAAAAACCCTTAAAAATCTCCTGAATAATATTTAGTATTGGTCTAGTCCTTATGTACTGTACGTTTAATTAAAATTCTGTACATACGTAAACCATTCTGCCTTGGTATTTACCCTTCCCAAATCCACAACTGAGATGATTAAATAAAAATCAGGCAATAAAACTATTTCGACTGTGTGTGCAGTTAATATGGATCAATTATATTTGTAAAAACAATGGGATGTTTTATTTTATTAGCTTCCTTGAGTCACATCTAGAGGAAAGGTGGATCTAAATCCAGTCAATAGATAAAATCAGTAGACACCCAGGTTGAGTGGAAGTTACTCTTGCACATCTTCAGAAACAGGTGCATCATGGCCACATATCCTGAACCATGTTCAGGACGTCTGAATAGAGATTTTAGAAACTAAGAGAATTGCAGTGTGGAAGCATGGCAGAACCTTGGTCTCTTTGAACAGCTTTCTCCTGGCTGAGATGAAGCCATCCCATCCATTCTTCAGAACCACAGCAAGGAATTTATGTACTGTATGTATGAAATTCGTTCTTTCCTTCACTCAGTCTTAAAAGGCAATTCAGTCACTGCCAACTCCAAGTAGCAGACACTCCATATGAGTAGCAAAGGTAAAACAGTATATAAGAAAGCAATATCATATATGTGCAAGTGACAGTTCTCCTTCATATTTAAAATGCAAAGCTTCACCCGCAGAACTTTGACCTTCCCAGTCTCTCTGGAAGGTGCAAATTTGGTCCACAAACCAAACTCATGGACCCTGATTCTCTGTCAAAAAAGCAAGCTTGCCACCTGGCAGGTGGCCCCTGGACCTGTGGTCCTCCCACCTAAGTGCCAAAGACTCACTTACACTCTGTGGCCTACTGGGCCTTTGTTGCCACATCTGGTTCTCTCTTCCACCTCTTTGGAGTACCAGAAACATATTTGCTGGCTTGAACCAAGACTACTTTGGCTCTCTGGAATCCAAGCTAAAGGATCTTGCATCTTGAAGCCGGAGTGACCATCCAGGTCTAAGCTGACTTTCCCAGCCTCTGTTCATTGACCAGTCAGGCTTTCAGGCAGAGGAAGATTTCCTCCTGCAGATGGAAATGTCAACAGATTGGTAACTAGGGCAGGAGGAAGGGGGGGGGGCCTTCATGCCCCTCTCTCCATAAAGATCTTAGCATGAAAATAGGAGTGAAGGGGTAAGAGCCCTGAGCCTGGGGAAGGGACAGATTGCTGGGATGGGGAAACAGAATGGTGGTGTCTAGTGAAGGTCTCTCCTTGGGCACCTACTCCTTTTGGCTCTCCCCCACAATGGTCCTTATTTCAAGTCAGAGTCTGGGGTGCAAAAAATGTGCAGTTAGGGAGGAAAAAGTTGATGTGGACAGCCAGGATGTCTCAAAAACCTAGTCAGCTTAAATGACCGAGGATGCCTTCATTTAATTTTCAAATAAGCAGCCCCTGCTCTTGTTTCTGCCCAGACAGTGGCATCTTGAAGACTGCAATCCTATAGGACATCCACTTAACTCAATGAGGGTGAGAGACTTCCCTTTAAGGATACCTCTGTTGTGCCTGGTTCTGCTAAACTCCATATAAGACAAGATAATTAAGACTTAAAGCTTTCAATAGCTGTTCCGGCAACAGACTGAACTGCATCCTGACCAACCATCTTAGCCAAGCCATTGGTTAGCTAAGGGTTCGGTGTAGCATTCAGAACCTTGGGGTGAGGAGGGGGGGAATTAGCAACAACCAATCATCAAAATTTGGATGCGACTTGGAGATTCTTAAAGCATTAGAGGACTTGTATCCAGGAAAGAGAAGTAGCCCCTCTATCCTAATAGCTTGAATAGGTGCCATAAACTTGCTGAAAAGATGCTAATGGAGGCAAGTGAAGGGATCAGGGTGATCTTCCTTTGGTAAAGAAGGTACCATCTGTATAGCAACTTGGAGTTTATAATAAACTCCAAGCCAAGAGGAGCTTTCTATGAGCAAAGATTAAGAGAAAAAAGAATGTGTGAATTTAGCCAGCGGTCCTTAAATCACGAGTTTTCACGCAAAGAGATACCGCTATGGCTGTCTAGGTATCCCACGCTGGTTTCCTCTAAACCAGTGTTTCTCAACCTTGGAAGCTTGAAGATGGGTGGACTTCAACTCCCAGAATCCCCCAGCCAGCACTGCTGGCTGGGGGATTCTGGGAGTTGAAGTCCATCCATCTTCAAGCTACCAAGGTTGAGAAACACTGCTCTAAACTCTTTGGCCTTTGAAATTAGCTAATTTATGTCGAGCGCTGTTTTTAGCTTTAAGATGTCCCAACAGTCCGGCTTGTTCTCTTTACAACTCTGCCAACCCATTCACTTGTGCAGGTCATCGCTTGAGTTTGTCATCATTAAGAAGTAAGCCTGCCAGCGGAGCCGGCTTTAATTAATTGCGGCCGCCAGATCGCTCCAGGGGAAAAGAAGCTACTTAATTTAAGCGCACGTGTGAAGCGATGCTCTAACATCTCGCGCCTTCTCCAAAACAGTATCCGTGGTCCTTTGGCTTTATAGTCCTGCGGGGAAAAATCTCGATCTAAGTCAGCGGCAACTCAGCCAAACAGCCGCTGATTTAACTCGTGTCACTTCCGAGGTAGTTCTCGGCTTCGCATCAAAAGCGGCTAGCCTTTCTTCAGCCCCAAAACCGTAAAGTGCAACCCTCGGCCCCCTTAATTTCAAAAGCCACTATCAGAGAGGCTCCCCGACGAATTTCCCTGCCTGCCTTTCATTCCCCGCTTGAAGAGAGAGAGAAAAGGGGGGGGGGAGCCCTTACAACACGGCCAGGGCGCTGCTAATACGCTTTGATGGGGATTGAATTCATTATCTCCAATAACACAATTGTGCTTGGCCAACGAAAAGAGCAAAGTAATACTCGTCTAGAATTAGAGCGAGGGGCTCAGAAGAAAAGGGACGAAGGGGCCATTTCAAAGGGGGCAGGAGCGAAAAATGAGAAAAACACCTAGCCGGACAATCAGCGAGGCGAAGGGGGTCCCCCAGTTTAATGCCCAGAAGTGTATGAAGTGGGCCGTTGCAAGGATCAAGGCACGTTGGTGGTCTCTGACTGCGCATTCCTGCCTTTGCCGGCCAAGTCGAGGCGAACAAGGCCGAGGTCTTGACATTTCCTTTTCCCGGGCCGAGGACTTATGCCTCGCCCCCAGCTCGCTTCTATAATCACATTTGCTTGGAAGAATTGGGGGGGGGAACAGAAGGGGGCCAGAAGGCTGGGCAGAGAAGACACCTGCCTGGCACAAACAAAAAGGAAATGCCTGGACAAGATCCTCTTTTCCCCTCCGAGTATTAAAGGCATGGGGGATCCCATCTGATCCTAGAAAATTAATGTGGCTGGAGGAGGCTTTGTAGGCATAACACCCTGTGATGGAAACGGGGTTTGGATGTTTTATAGGTCAGAATAGTTTAGCCATCTAACTTTGTCTGAGTTCATCAATCAACCTAAGCCAGTTTGTTTTCACCAGTTTGCTGAAAAAGTCCTGGGCTTGCATATGACCCTAAATCATAATAGGCTTTATTTCCTTTTGTCTTGGCAAAATGTGTAAATTCAACCAACTCTTTTCCTAATGGGGAAAAAACACACCAAGGAACGAAAGGCTTGTACTGGCTTGGTAAACTTTCTGGATTATTCTTTAAAGGGCAGGGCATCCAAATGATCCAAGCTAGAAACAGAAACCAGGTTTACAAATTCTTACTTAGCCCTGATGTTTATTGACAATGATATTTGTGGGGGTCAAAAAAGTCAAGATGGTGACCAAAAATCATATGATCAAGGCTTTGTCTTTGATCACAAGGTTGTGGCTACTAGTTGCTTTTTTTTGGGATCCTACAGAAATCCCTGCTGGTTTCTGACTGTAAATTCTCAGCCCAATGTCCCTCACTGGAGTGCTGTCAAGGAACAAGCTACATCACCCTGAGATCAGTGGTGAAATCCACATTTTTTTACTACCAGTTCCTTTGGTGTAGCTTTGTGGGCGTGGTGTGGCTTTGTGGGCATGGCAGGGGAAGGATACTGCAAAATCTCCATTCCCACCCCACTCCAGGGGAAGGATACTGCAAAATCTCCATTCCCATCCCACTCCAGGGGATGGAGACTGCAAAATCTCCATTCCCACCCCACTTTGGGGCCAGCCAGAGGTGGTATTTGCCAGTTCCCTGAACTACTTAAAATTTCTGCTACCAGTTCTCCAGAACCTGTCAGAACCTGCTGGATTTCACCCCTGCCTGAGTTGATATATCTAAGGATGAACAAAAACACAATTCAGCAAGCAAGTGAACAGTATGGTTTACTTCTGGGAACTCCTAGGGCAGTTAGAGAGTGTGGCACTATTTTGGGCTTCCAGGCCCTGTATAGGGAAGGCTGCAATCATCCTTTGTACTGGACTAAGATGTTGTGTTTTGGCATTCTAGAGTCTGGTTTATGCACCCTGCAACTCAGTTTGTTTAAGGAATAAACCATGCTCCAGTTTTTCATAGTATGCATGTGCTACAAATACAGCCATAATGTACTAGGTTTGCCTGAAACTGTGTTTTGTAAGCCCAGTCACAGTGGTGTGTATATTATGACAGATGAAAAGTCAACTAGTGATAGGTTATTTAACAAACCCATGTCATACAACTTGGTATGGCACAAACTGTGTGCCAACCTAGCTTCCATAAGAGTCAGCTGGAGAGAGGCTGGCTTGGAGGAAGCTGAAATTTGGTCTCTGAAGTGATTTAAGCAAATTCAGTCTGTACTTGAACTTATCCCAAACTTTGTGGAAACAACCATCACTGCCTTGTTCTGTGAAAAATTGATCAACCATAACTAATAAGGCTCAGAAATGGAAGGACATTTCGATTCCCACCATGGACGAAGAGCTACAGAAGCTGATGGAGTTGGCAGAGATGGCGAAATTGACCATTTTCATCAAAAGAAAAGAATACAAGTACTTTTGTTGCTACATGGAGACCAACCACTTCTGGTGCTTGAGGTGGGGTGGGAGGGAAATGAAGCATTGATTTTGGATTTTACTGATTAGATTGATTTGCTATTACAGAAATGGCTAGTTTATATTATGGAAAAGTAAAAAGATTTGAGGTTCAATGTTAATGCTTTATTCTATTGCAACAGAGGGAATCAGAAGTCAACACTTTTTTTTCCTCCCTTTCTTTTTTTCCCCCTTCTCCTCCCCACTGTATCTGCCTATTTGCTTTTGTATTTTTGTATTTTATTCTATAATCAAATAAAACATTTTTTTAAAAAAACAACAACAACCATACCTAGTAAGGCTCTTTCCAGATATGCCTGACTGCAACTCCCATCATCTTCCCTTAACATCTTTCCTGGCTGCCCTCTAGATGAGTGGAATTACAATTCAATTTAGCTTGAATGTGATGTAGGCGCAAGGAGAAGTCAGGCCAAGGAGGAACTCTTCCAAATCAATGATACCCTATGTAGTAATGAATGTCCAGTTGGGCTTTTAGCCTCCAGTTGTGGCGAGAAGTAGCTGGAAAGTCGTTCATGTGGGAGCTGGGGGGGGGGGTAGAAAGCAGCTGCCATCCTCGGCCCGTCATCCACACCAGGCCCTGGCGCCCCACTGGGCAGAAAGCGGGGAGGGGGGAGCCACTCGCTCGGAGCTTGCTGCGGAGAAAGCTGAGTTAGGCCCCTTTGACAGGCCTTGGGAAAGGCACGCTCCTCTAGCAAGCACGGAGTGCTTCCAGACGGCCCAGGAAATGGGATTGTGTGCCTGAGGTGTATTTTCAGCCTCCAAATATAACGGGAGTTTAAGAAGCTTTTGCCCCCAGGAGGCGGCCAGCAACCTTGCTTGCAATTTTGAGAGTGCTTGCGCTGGGGTGCGAGTTGGGTTTAAGAGGGAGTTGTGGGAAACGCGTCTCCGTCGGCATCTTTTAGAGCCATTGTTTGGGCGCGAAGCCTTGGGCCTGTCGGCGTGGCCTACCACAAAAATGGGGGTTTGTTTCAGCTTTAAGGTCCTTGACAAACACAACTGCAGTGTTGTTGTTTCCCCCCCACCCGGTCAGTTTTCACGAGGATAAACATCGATGGTCAAAAGCAGTTTTGCAGTGGACTGTTAGCCACTCCTGATGGTCTTCCTTTTCTTTTGCTGTGGAAAACAAGTGATTACTTAAAAGTAAACATGTCTGATTTTCAAAAAGGCTTCCAGACAATTATTTAAGTGTTAGTTGCTTGTCCTTAGTCAGTTTAATAAATCAAGAGAAAATACCAACTCCTGCTCTGCTTGCAGTCTCTAAAAAGGTTTTAAGGAAAAACAAACAAAAAAGACCCTGTAGGAAATATATTAGAAGAATCCTGAAGTTTTTCAGCCACCCAAATTGTGCAGACATAAAAGGCAGCCAAAGTATTTAGCAGAGAACAATTTACAATTTTTCTAACACATATTGGATTACCACACTGTCACCCTAGCCAGCCAAATCCATTCTGGCTGGAGAACTGTCTGAACTGCAGTTTAAAAATTATGGTTGCCACATTGATTTCTTTTCAAAAACATTTATGGCAGTTTGGAATTTTTATTCGAGTGAATGGGTACAAATTTGCAGACAAATGCTACATTATTTTTATTTGGTACATGCTTATAAACTAAATGCAGAGCCTGACCTGCATTTGTAGCACTGGAAAGACAAAGTAAACTGTTTTGCAATAAATGACAGCTCCTTCACCCACAGGCAGAAGTGTAATTTTAAACAAGTGGCAAATATTTAAGGGTTAAAATTCCATACTTACTTTTAAATGGAAGTGTTAGCAATGGAAGTTTTTCCTGTTCTTTGATGCCTCTACTGGAAGTTTCAGGGATTTCACGTGAAGAGGAAAGCCCAAAAATCCAGAGAATAACCTTGACATGATGAGCTTGGATGAGTGTGGTAACTGAAAGATAAGAGTGAAGAAAAGTGAGATCGAAGTGATATTCTAAGAACATTACTGTCTAGCACTGCTTATTCACATAATTTAGCCTTATTCGATTTGGCATTCTCCAGAGGTATTGAACTACAATTCCCATCTTCCCTAACTGGGCATAATAGGAGTTGTACTTCCACACATTTGAGGGCGCCATATTAAGATAGGTTGATTTGTACCTTCTGATATTAGAATGGGTTGAATGAGACAATCCCAATTCTGCTTTTTAGTTGTCCAGCCAGTGTCTGAAATTGTACCAACTGAGATCAAGTTAGTGTGACTGAAGGCAGGAGAGGTTAAAGAGCCACAAATGAATCTCCTTTAAACTGATTAGATTTGCCAAAGCCCAATATGAATGCCAAAAAATATATCTCATAGTTATATGCTAAGTATGGGCAGAATATATTTGCCGTTGTCATCAACAAAGAACTATTGCTGTCTCACAGGCATAACAGGATTGTGATATAAAAATTCCTAAATCAAAATGTGTGATCTGAGAGACTTTTCTCTTTAGGAATGTGCATTTCATGCAGTTTCTAGCATCTGACAAGCTTTTACTGTCTTGCATGCAGTCATGATGCACACCTCTTAAAGCCAGGCTTTATCTGGAACCTTTGCACAATCCACTTCCAGGGTCTGACACAGGAAAAATGTTTTGTTGTTGGAAATGAGATTACTCTAAGATCAGCCAAGATGCTAAAGGCTGCTCCAAGTTGTTGAGCTCTCATGGGGGAAGGACAACTATCTGCCTCAAATGCTTCAAATGCAATGAGATTAAGATATACAAAAAGTTGTATCAGCTGAGTAGAGGGGAGCTACAGAAAAAATACATCTCCTAAACTTTCCTAGATTACATTTTGGAAATGCAGAAGAAGCTTAGTCTGGCTCTATGCTAGGCCCTTATTTTTTAAGAATTTTAAAAGTTAATAATTTTGCCTAATACTGTTACCTTTTGAAAATTTACATTGAAAGGAAATACTGAAAAGGAGCTGAAGACACTTAACAAATACTTTCAGAAAGTCAAATGGTAAAAAACTACTTTGTTAAACTTGAGCAGGTTTGCTTGTGTGTCAGATACAGGGTTGCAAATATTTTCATTTTTATTACAGTTCACAGGAAACCTTTCATACTTAAGATCATTAATCAGAGCATATCAGATATATAAAGCATATTTATTAGAATAAACTAATGTCCTAAAATATAGAGCAAGCTTTCTCAATTTCGAGGGGTATCCTGCAATTTAGGAAAGGATAAGAAGGTGGATGGAAGAGAAAGCTGCAGTCAGTGAACCCAGCCAGAAAAAACAATAGTGATTGTATTGGCTCATTTGAAGAAGAAAAATATCCAATAGTAAGACAAAAGCTTTTTAGAACCAACTAAAACATTACAACTTTGGGAACAAGTATTTGACTTCTTCAGAACTTTTCCTCTGGCAGGCTGTTAAAACAAAATCAGATGGAGGGGAGGAATTAAAATAAGGACTCTCTCTCTCTTCAGGCTGATGTGTCATCCAGATAAAGTATTTGGACTGTCTTATTCTAATATCTGACCATATTTTACAAGAGACCTTTTAGCCCACCTTCCTATTGGGCAACCAGGAACCTGATGGGGCAGCACTTTTCTTCCATCACTACTAGGAGAGATAGCTGAATTTTCCCCTTTAAATGGAAGTGTTATGTTAGTTATATTAGTAAGGATTGGTAAAATGTAACTCAAAATAGATCTGTTTTATTAAAAAAAATCCAATTTCGTGGATTCTTCTGATAGAAGTTCATTGGCTGTTGAAAACTTGCTCTTCCTCTGCTCTTAACTTTTCTTCCTACAAACATTATATTGGACTAAAGGAAATACTCTTCTGTAGGTCAACTCAGAAGTAAGCCTAAATTCAAAAGAGATTATTTCAAAGTAGGTAGGGAGGTAAAATATTGCAACCTAAATTGTGTCTACTGATGTTCTGGTTTGGAACTTAAGCAAACTCCTTGAATTGTAGAAGTTGGCATATCACCTTCCCCAATGCAGCATCATAAGGAAGGCATGATCTATATCAGAATTACAATGTCTCCGATAAGCAAATACAACACCATGTTTTTCTGATGTTGAAAAGTAGCAGTTGTTTATCAGTACCGATAACCTCAGGACATAACAATTAACAACTCCAAAACAGAAGTTGCTAATGGGCCTGATTCCTGACAGGAAACAGTTGCTCTCTTCTTTATGGGTTTTTGTGAATCCAATCAAAGATGACAGATTCCAAATGTAATTTCTAGGATGTGCAGTCACTACTGGTGATTTTCAGGTCATACTGCTGCTAATGTGGCAGACTCTCATTTCCTCCCAAGCAATCTCTATGGCCAGCATTGTCAAATTACATTTGTGAATGTCTCTGCAGGATGTGACACATAACTGCTACATTTTAAGCTTCAACAATTAAGCTACAGTCTTCGATATGCATTCTGATTTAAGAGTAAATCCTATTTAACTCAATGGGATATACTTATGTATAAACAGATATTGGACTTGACTGTTAATAAATGTGAAAATTAATTAGTTACTTTCTAATGCCTTGAGATATTTCTTAATAGAATAGAATATAATTTTTTGTTGGCCAAGTGTATTTGGACACATAAGGAATTTGTCTCCGGTGGATAAGCTCTCAATGTACATATAGGCAACAAGTGATAAATCATGATCATAATCATAAAATACAATCATAAATCATAAGATACAACACATGCTGACAATGCCATTTCTTTTGGATACTGTTTATTAGTTATATAGCAGAAAGAATAAAGAGAAATAGTTTCTCAATCTCAATGAAATGAAGCAAAGGTGGACAAAACTGATTAGGCTATTATTTTAAATAACCGTGTAGTGCAAAATCATCTATCTAAACTTTACTTAATTATTACTGGTTTCTTTTTTGTTTAACAAAACTGGTGATAAAATAAGGGGAGTTAAAAAGCAACTTATTTTTTCATTTTTATTAACTCTAATTTTTAAGACAAGTCTGGAAAGAATTTAATGTAACAAGATTCAGCTAAGGACATTTATTAGGGAGTAATCCTTTACAAACACAGATTTTGAGGGATATATACATAGATTTGCATGCACTGATTGGGTTAGAAGCCAGAATGGTACTCTTTTTTGGCAGTTTATGGTGAGTGGTTAGTTCCTCCCAGATTATTCTTTTGTTTGATAATAATAAGGTGAATAGAAGAATGGAACAGCTTTTCTTGAAAGAATATTTACTGTTTGCAGAATTATTTTTCAGGAACTTTAAAAGATTTTAAGCATCATCACAGTCTATTTCCTTTGTTTCTATTCATCTGATTCCCTCACCCACCCACCCCCAAATATATTGTGTCACTGATCACACTGGCTTTCGCTAGCATTGCACAACACACTTATACAATTATGCAATTCCCTGAATTGAAACAATTCAGTTTTACATTAATCATATTGGCTGGCATTATTATAGTCCAACTATTATAATCAACAAATTTGATGGGCAGCATCACCCCAAGATGTTGTAAGGCACAGAAAGGGGTACTTAAGAGAAATCAAGAATAGGAATCTTAGCCATATTGTACACATGTGATTTTAGTAGGCTAAAAAAGATGATTAGGAGAACTGAATGACAGCTCTGGCTTCTAGATCTGGCTATCATAATCATTGCCATTCACCCCATGTTTCCTTTGAGAACTCAAGGTGGTTTACAAGGAGATCTCTTAATTTTAGTCCCATACTATTTGGAATGTGTTTGGCTAAAAGAAAGTTATCAATTCAAATAACATTGTTCAGTCCTGAGGGTGACACTGACATTCACCTCACTTCTGTTTCCCCACCTATAATCTCAGTGGGATAAGGAGCTGTTCTTATTCTAAGAAAGCTGTTTGTATTCCATAAATGTCATGTACATTGAGAGTTAAATTAGTCATCTTATATATACAAGGATAAAATGTATGCAAAAAGGCATGGCACGGGCCACAAAAAAATCAGTTAATGACTCATACTGAAAAAAGACAAATACACTCCATTAAAAAAAATGGAGTGGGCCACTGAAAATCTTCTCATATGGGCACCACTTGATTTAATACCTTTCCTGTCTCCAATTGTATCTCCAGAACAGTGATTCATGCAGTGAAGAATGAGATGAGCTTCAATGAATACAAGTTATTGTACAGTAGTTGTGTATGCTTTAGAAACACACAAAATATGCTTTTTATTCCAATTCAAAACAAAACTATGTGTCAGCTATTTAATAGTGACTAGACAATCCATGCCCTGCTAGGTCATAGCTTCAGAGATCTTTCTTTATCTAAACAGAGAAACAGAATGAGCACAGGTAGGCAAAAGCACAGGTAGGGCCTTGGTAGTACAGTGGTCTAAAGCACCCTGTTATTAAGACCAGCTGCCTGCAATTACTGCAGGTTCGAATCTCGTCAGGCTCAAGGTTGACTCAGCCTTCCATCCTTTCTAAAGTAGGTAAATTGAGGACCCAGTTGTGGCGGCAATAAGCTGACTTTGTATAAATATACAAAAGGATGAAGGCTATTCCTTAGCGCATTGTAAGCCGCCCCGAGTCTCCGGAGAAGGGTGGCATATAAATCAAATTTAAAAAAAAAAAAAAAGCAGTGGGAGCAGGAGCAACTTCCAATTTCCTGCAGGCTTCCCCATTGAGTTTCTTTGCAGGAATTTAGCAGAAAAACCCTTCCTTCCTTCCTCCCTCCCTTCCTTCCTTTCCAGAAATATATTTATTTAGCAGGTAGGACCAGTCAGTTTCAAAGTAGGGAGTAATTGACGGGTGGATGAGCAAGGACTGAAGTATGATAGCTAATGTACAGGTAGTCCTCGAGTTACAACAGTTTGTTTAGTGACTGTTTGAAGTTTAGTGAGCGGTTGAAGTTACAACGATGCTGAAAAAAATGACTTATGACAGTTTTTCACACTTATGACCTTTGCAGCATCCC